GGTGACAATTTTGGATTTCATCTGGATTCGAACGCAGATCAAAAAAAAAAAAAAAAAAAAAGGTCTGTATTTCAAGTTTCAACAGTTCATGGGTATACGAACTGAGATGGACCCGTTGGTATGACATTTTTGGAATGCCCCGAGTTCGATGATGTTTTGTGCTCGTTGTTGTAGACAAAAAAAGAACACTCAGAAAGACCAGGAACGTGGTGGAAGAATTCGATGACAACTTGACAAGTTGATAAACCAATTGCCAAAAACAAGAACAAAAAAATGAAAAAAAACAATTGCGCATATCGATACGAGTAGTGACGACGAGGTTGTCGGTAAGGTTGTCATTGTAAGCCCTGATTGTTCCGCAGCCAGATGGAATCGAACTGGTGCCCTCGGCTACAATAGCCGGATGCCTTTACCACTCCAACTTCGACCGAGCATTCGAGATTGAAGCCATACCGCGGGCGACATCCAGCACACCCCAGCACAGTTAACCAAATCGCCCCCTAAGTATGGAAGGCTGAAGGCGCAAGAGCCCTCTTTTGTTTGAATTAGGGAATTCTCGCGTAAAGTCTCTGAGGATCCCAAACAGCTCAGCTGTCACTGGCTAGGGCGAGGGGCCGTACTTTTTGTGGTTTCCTGCTGATAACCTACTTGTCCCGACTTACACGTCAATGCGAGACATCCACGAGATCCTCCGCATGCAGCAGCATCCACGCAGACTCCAAGGGCATCCGTAGTGATGAGGTTGGCCTGACCTTTGAGGCTGGACAGGCCTAGCGAGGCCAATGTGTTTGAGCAGAATTGTCGGGTTAATAAGATTCTTTTTTATTTTTTTTATTTTTATTTTTTATTTTAACCAACACCCCCCCTTGTTAGCTAGGCTACCAGAGTTGCTCGGGACCACTTGCCCGGCCAGGCCCAACAAAACAAAGAAAAAAAAAAACTTTTTTATTTGAAATTTGGTAAAGAATTCGATTCGACCCTGAGGCAAAAGTTGTTCAGTTTATTTTTCTGCATAATTTTTAATCATTTTTTGTTTTTTGTTTTTTTAATTTTAAACTCTTTTTTTTTTTTTTTGCTGGGAACTTCCTTGGTCCTTGCACGGCCCGGGCGCCCGAGAAAACATGTATTTTAAATTTTGGTAAAGACTTCCGATGTGCTCCTGAGGCAAAAGTTGTTCAGTTTATTTCTCTGCATAACATAGTGTTTTTTTCCGGATTTTTACATCATTTTTTTTTTTTTCCCTTGTAGAAAATATTTATTTTAAATTTTGGTAAAGACTTCCGATGTTCTCCTGAGGCAAAAGTTGTTCAGTTTATTTTTCTGCATAACATAGTGTTTTGTGTTCGGATTTTTACATCGTTTTTTCTTTTTTTCCCTTTTTTGCTGGGACCTTCCTTGGTCCTTCCACAGCTGGGCCACCCGAGAAAACAAGGTGGCCCGGCCGGCCCGGCTGGTCGCCTAGCGAGTTAGCCATTTGTAATTTGACATATTTATTTATTTATTTATTTATTAATTATTATTATTATTTTTAAGCCCCCTCCAGTGTTAGTGGTGTTGGTAAGAGCAGACACCACTAGCACCTGGGGAGAGGCTACATCTATTGGTGGGGAGCATCACCTGCTGGAAAACGGGTTCAGCGTCCCATATACAGAATGAATTTGGAGTATAAAAGGAAAAAAGTGTGAGGGACTCCTGCCAGCATTGATTACTAGCATCACCTGCTCGAAAACGGGTCCAGGGTCCCATATACAGAATGAATTTGGAGTATACGAGGAAAAAAGTGTGAGGGACTCCTGCCAGCATTGACTACCCTGGGGTCCAGAGGATTGACTGAGCAGGATATTGGAAAACGGGAGAGAACCTCTTCGCCCTGAACCAGGCGCCAGATACCTGCTACTACAAACTAGTTCCTCCCTCCCCATACCAGCCCCCTTCAAATTTAGTTTCATGTATCAGTCCTAGTTTTATTCACTGCAACTTCTCGTACTGTTGCTGACCCTCAGTTCATCGTCGTCACATTCTGTTCATTTGTTTTTGAAACTACTACGGTCCAGGTTCTGTATGGAAGGGTTCACCGAAGTCCCAGCCGTTGGTTTCTCTGTGGAAGCTCCAAGGGCCGTCTTTTGTGATTCAGATACACACTGCCGAGATGAGACGGATAACAGTCTTTTGAATATTGCGGATAGAATGGGCGGCGGATACAATGGGCCTCGCTCCACTACTCTTGACATGAACAAAAGACAAAAATCATGGCGGTGTATCGTTCCATGTTCTAGCGAAAGATTCACTATCGTTTGGTGCATGTCGAGAGTAGTGGAGGGAGGCCCAATGTCATGGAAGTGTGGATTATCAGTGCTCCACTAGGTGGTGGTTTGTCAGAGGGG